GATTAGGTAGGTGTTACAAAGATGAAAAAGCAGGGCATCTCTTTCTAATCCTGACAGACCCTCCACTTCTTCACAGATCCTTTATTTTGCAGTGAAGGTCTGTATGAGGAAGTTGATTCCTGGTATGTTCCTGATAAGAATGCACATTTCCAGGGGTAGCAGCAGGGACTACATCGCTTTAGGAAACCTTGTTCCTGAACTTGTGCCAAGTTTCTCTGAATCTTGGAAACTGGGAAAGTGTCTGTGCTCCTGATTAATAATATTTAGCAAATAGATTGAAACCAGAGGAAGTATAATCACTAATAGAGAGGGACATTCAGTGACAGAGCTCCTGTGGTTTAGCTGCTATGAGGCGGCACTCAAGCCATTGAGAGCAGGCATGGCTTTCATGCCCATGTGTTTACATGAGCCTGAGCTGAGATCCTTGAAGGGATTAAGACCTCCTCTGTCTCATGAAGAATACAGACCAGGCCTCCTCTCAATTTTCTCACAGGCAGTTTAAATTATTCTTCTACCTTTAATCTCGTTAAGACTCGAGTTGAAGCTACTTGGTAATAAAATTATTCTCAATTTATATCACACATGGATGATTGTTCTCTCCCCTCCATGGGCTGCAAAACCCTCCAAGTCAGAGTCATCTCTCTTGATCCCCACTCACCCATCATATAAGCATTTCAAACAGTACGTGAAAAAGTGAAATAAATAGTAACTGTCTTCCAGCCTCGCTCCCCAGAGATAACCACTATTAAGTTTCTTGTTATCTTCCTCCATAAATGTTTGTGGGAAAACACAAACTTTTATGTTATTCAATGGTCGATCCAATGAGCAAACCTTAAAAGAAATATGGATTTACAGAATTTTGAATCATTTCTGGTTCAGGGTTTTATACATAATTATAAGTTACTGTAACATAAGGTATGTATGTGGACCTGCCAAGGTAGATACAACCTACCCCCATTTACAAATCACACACCCTCCTCCTCCCAGGACTTCAGCAAGTACTGCATTTGGGTAGCAGGTGGAGTTACTGAGGCGCAAGCCTGGTGAGTCCAGCTCTGTCTCTAACATGGTGGGTATTCCCTAGCCAACTCACTCCATCTCTCTGAATCTCAGTTTCCTCTCCAAGAGGGGAAGGTGTTCTCAAAGGTCCCTTGGAGAGTTCGGGGTTGAAGCTGAATCAAGCACTGATTAATAAAACATGTACACCACGGGCAAAATATGAATTGGTATTGAAGAAAATCAAACATAATATAACATTACAAGGAGAATATGGATGTGAATCAGAATGGAGCAGTTATTTGAAAAATACTTTCAATTGAGGTATAATTGACATGTAACAGTAGTTTCAGGTATACAACATGATTTCATATTTATGTACACTGCAAAATGATCATCACAGTAAGTCTAGTAACATCCATCACCATCCGTTACAAAATAATTTTTTTCTTGTGATGAGAACCTTTAAGGTCTAATCTGTTAGCAACTTTCAAATATGCAATACAGTATTATTAACTATAGTCATCATGCTGTATACTATATCCCCAGGATTTACTTATTTTATAACTGGAACTTTGTACCTTTTGATCACCTTCACCCAGTTTGCCCCCTCGGTACCCATGAGCTTGGTTATCTTTGGTTTTGTTTTTGTCTTTTAGAATCCACATATAAATGAAATTATAGGATATCTGTCTTTCTCTATTTCACTTAGCATAATCCCCTGTAGGTCCATTTATGTTGTCACAAATGGCAGGGCTTTATTCTTTTTTATGACTGAATTGCATATATATACACCCCACAACTTCTTTATCCATTCATTCACAGATGGACCTTAGTTTGTTTCCATATCTTGGCTACTGTAAATAATGCTTCAATGAACATGGGGATGCATATATCTTTTTGAGTTAATGTTTTCATTGTCTTTGGATCAACACCCAGTAGTGGAATTGCTGGATCATATGGTAGTTCTATTTTTAAATTTTTGGCCAACAGGTTTCTGTTTGCCACAGTGGCTGCACCAATACACACTTCCAAAAAAGGGTTCCCTTTTTCCACATCCTCACCAACACTTGTTCTTTCTTATATTTTTGATGATAGCCATCCTAACAGGTGTGAGATAATAGCTCACTGTGGTTTTGATTTGCATTTCTCTGAAGACTTTTGATGCTGAGCATCTTTTCCTGTACCTGTTGGCCATCTCCATGACTTCTGTGAAAACATGTCTGTTCAGACTTTTTGCCCATTTCTGAACTGGAGTGTTTGGGGTTTTTTGCTACCTAGTTGCATGAGTTCTTTATATATTTTGGATATATATCTATACCAGGTCTATGATTTGCAAATATTTTCTCCCATTTAGTTAGGATGCCTTTTCATTTTGTTGATGGTTTCCTTTACAGTGCAGAAGCTTTTCAGTTTAATGTAGACCTCCTTGTTTATTTTTGCTTTTGGTGTCAAATTAAAAAAATCATCACTGGAGTGCCTGGGTGGCTGAGTTGGTTAAGCATCTCACTCTTGATTTCAGCTCAGGTCATGATTTCACAGTTGTGAGACTGAGCTCTGTGTCTGCGCTGGGTGTAGAACCTGCTTAAGATTCTCTCTATACCTCTTCCTCTGCTCTGCCTCTGCTCACATTCACTCTCTCTCTTTCAGAAAAAAAAAAAAATCATCACAAAGACCAGTGTCAAGGAACCAACTGTCTATGTCTTCTTCTAGGAGTTTTATGGTTTCAGGTCTTACATTCAAGTGTTTAATCCATTTTGAGTTAATTTTTGAGATGGTCCAGTTTTCATTCTTTTGCTGCGGCTATCCCCTTCTCCCAACATTAATTGAAGAGACTGTCCCCATTGTATATTTTATTCAATGAATAGACTGTCCTCATTGTATATTTTTGGCTTCTCTGTCATAAATTAATTGACCATATATACAGGGTTATTGCTGGACTCTCTCCTGTTTCATTGCTCTATGTGTCTGTTTTGATTACTGTAACTTCATAAGATAGTTTGAAATCAGGAGGCATAATACTTCTAGCTTTGTTCTTATTTGTCAAGATTACTTTGGCTATTCAGGGTCTTTGTGGTTCTACACAAATTAAGAATTCTTTGTTTAGTTCTGTGAAAAATGTCATTGGAATTTTGACAGGGATTATATTGAATGTGTAGGTTGCACTGGGTGGTATGGATATTTTAGTAATTCTTCCTATCATTGAGCACAAAATATTTGCTCAATTCAATTCTTCCTATCCATGAACACAAAATACCTGCTCATTTATTTCTGTCTTTTTCAATTACTTTCATTAATGTCTTATAGCTTTCAGTGTAGAAGTCCTTTACTTTGACTAAAACTATGCCTAGGTATTTTATTCTTTTTGATGCAATTGGATATGGGATTGTTTTCTTAATTTCTCTTTCTTAGAGTCTGTTGTCAGTATACAGATACACAAGAGATTTCGGTATGCTGATTTTGTACCCTGCAACAAATTCTACCAGTTTTTGGTAGACTCTAGGATTTTCTCTATGTAATATGTCTTCTGCAAATAGTTTTACTTATTTCCCTTCCTAATTTGGATCATTATTTCTTTCCTTTGCCTAAGTGCTTTGGTTAGGACTTCCAATTCCACTAAACACAGTGGGGGGGGGGGTGGTGAGCATCCCTATCTTATTTCTGATCTTATCATTGAGTATAGTGTTAGCTGTGGGCTTGTCATATTATAACCTTTATTATGTTGAGATATGTTCACTCTATACATACCTTATTGAAAGTTTTTACATAAATGGATGTTGAATTTTGTCAAAGGCTTTTTCTAAATCTATTGAATGATCATATAATTTTTATCCTTCATTTTGTTAATGTGGTATATTACACTGACAGATTTGCAGATGTTGAACCAACCTTGCAACTCTGGAATAAATGCCACCTAGTCATGGTGTATGATCCTTTTAATGTATGTTGAATTTGGTTTGCTAATATTTTGTTGATGACTTCTGTATCTATGTTCATTAGGAACACTGACCTATAATTTTGTTTTCTAGTGGTATTCTTGTCTGGTTTTAGTATCAGGGGAATGCTGGCCTTGTAAAATGAGTTTGGAAGCATTCCCTTGGGGCAATTTTTACAAGCAATTTCCTGAGGTATACTTCATAGGAAAATCCAAAATTTGTTTTACCACATAGGTATATCAAGCAATATACACTGATCCTGAAGTTATCTTACGATACAGCCACAATACTTCAGAGGTAGAGCCAACCCATGTTTATTCATTTCTCAACAATGCATGTGGCCTTCTCACCAGCCTCAGAGAGCTCATGAGTATTTTTCCATTGTCAAGAGTCATAGATAAGTTCAATGTTATATTCAGTAGCTATGGGGTCATAACTTAAGCAACTAGTTAACATCTTAATTCTCATTTGCCACCTCATTGACAATTAGCTGCCTACCAGGGAGGAGGTCTTCCTGTTGATCAGACCACATGTGCTGTTCTGTCCTGTTTGTCCTAGTGTGACCATATATAAATTTCCAGAGGAGTGTCAAAGTGATGGGAATACTTGGCAGAGAGGCAAAAAGGTGCCAGAAGTGGGTAGGACACCATTAGCTTAACTTAAACATCTATTTGGCGATTTGACTGCAAGCTAATAGTAGCAAAGCTGCTCATAATGGTTGAAAATCTTTGTCCTAGGGTAAGGCTAGGAAAAGGAAAATGCATTCACAGTGTCTCTGTCAGGTGTTTTTGCCATTTCTCTCAGAGGCAGGAGAGGTGGAGGTTCAGAGAACTGTGGGGTTAGAGAGAGATGGGTTCTGCCATGATTGGACAATTGCCTAATCAGTTCTGAGCCTCTATTTGTTAATTTATTTCAAAAGAGACAGACATGGGAATATATGCATTGTGCTTATTATTATCATCTGGAACTGTGGGTTCTGTGAGCTATCTCCTATGAAACACAAGATCCTCAAAAAACAATTACAAGTAAAACTGAAAAATCATACCATGGTAAAGGAGCTGTTCTTACCTGAAAGGAATTCATATAGCGAAGGGAGGGAGGTAGTGTGGCGTTGCTCCTGGATAATATCAGCAGCAGCTCTAAGCAGGTTGCAGAGGGCAGGGTTAGAACATGGATGCTGATATCACTTTCCCAAGCACTGGAAAGCCTGAAACACATTGATATGTATATTTCATAATTCTACCTGGTCATAATTATTTCAAAAATCTGATGGAAAGAAGAAGACTTTCAAGTGTGGAAGGTAGACATGATGAACAAAAACCAAATAAAACGGCTATACTAAAAATTCACAAAGTAAATGTCTAAGACATGTTTATGGTGGTTTTGATACAAAACAGATCAGGAAATTTTTTCAGGTCAACGTTTCATACTCACAGAGTCACATAAAATGCAGTCTTATTTGTAATGGACCTTTTTGGGGTGGGGGATAGATAATAGAGCTAACATATCAAACGCTTCCTATATTCTGTGCACTCCTATATTCTGTGCATGTAACATCTTGTTAAACCCTCCAATGCCTATGAAATGGAATTGTTGCTATCCTTCCTCTACAGATGTGCAAATCGTTTCTGAGCTGGATATGCCCTATGAAGTTTCTAGTTAGCTGATTTTCAAGCCTTTGAAAAGTGAAATAATCCTATTATCAAAAAATCTTATAAAAGCATTTGTTATATAAATAAAAGCAAAGCTGCTCTTTTGGAAGAGGAAAGGTTGGCAGGAGGCTCCCTTCATCTTCCAAAGTAGCATATGAAACATCTCTACTACATCCTGTTGAACCTACTAGGAAATTCTTTCATTCAAGAAATGAGGAAACTGAAGGCTAGTAAAGAAAAGAGACTTCTCTGGGATGATACATGTTTAGAAGATGATATAGCTATGTCTAGAATCCTGGTTTCCTGATTTTCCATATAGTACTTAAAACAGAAAATCAGAAAATTGTTATGGGAAATCAATGTAATAAAAACAGGGTGTGTCTTATGCTGTCAATTCTTCTATTTACTTGAGTATTTCCTGTCTGTGCCCCTATCAACATGTCTTTTAACAATGTCCTAATTTTTTTTAATGTTTACTTATTTTTGAGAGAGGAAGAGAGACAAAGCTCGAGTGGGGAGGGGCAGAGAGAGAGAGGGAGACACAGAACCCGAAGCAGGCTCCAGGCTCTGCGCTGATAGCCAAAGAGTCTGATGCAGGGCTCAAACCCATGAACGGTGAGATTATGATCTGAGCCAAAGTCGGATGCTTAACCAACTGAGCCACCCAGGTGCCCCTACACTGTCCTAATTTTTAAAAAAGAAATATATATATATATATATATATATCTTTTTTCCCATTTATATAAACTTCTTTCTCTAAACTACCTTTAACCCAGCCAGTGGTGAATTCTGGAATGTCAAAGAGCATCAGTGGTTGAGGGCATAATGGATTTTAACATTTATATGATGAGTCATGGCAGACAGTTTAGCTGTGTCATCGATCAGGTTACTTGTGCTAATACATTTCTGATATGGGGTGGGGAATCAACTCTTTGAAGCATTTGCCTCCTAGCTGGGCTGGAATAGGGCACTGCCCACTTTCTTCAAAAATGGTCTCTTTTCAGCAAGGATGCACATATGAATGTCTTCTCTGTTTTAAAAACACCTCTCCAGGGGCGCCTGAGTGGCACAGTCAGTTAAGCGTCTGACTTTGGTTCAGGTCATGATCTCATGGTTCATGGGTTTGAGCCCTGCATCAGGCTCTGTGCTGACATCTAAGAGCCTGGAGCCTGCATCCGATTCGGTGTCCCTCTCTCTCTAAACCACACCCACACAAAAAATATATATCTCTCTCTCAAAAAAAAAAAAAAAAAAAATAAAAAAAAAAAAAAAAACGTTTCTCCATTATTTCATATTGATTGGCTATGTTATTCTTTCTCCTTTCATTAATTATACAACATTCTCAACATTTCTCTGGTGTGGAAAAACAAATCTTGCTGTCTTTGGTAAAAGTCAAATGTAGTACTAGTGCAGTGACTCTAAGCTCATTCTCCCTACCACTTTTCTTATGCTCTCCACAAACCATTCCCATTCCCTGAACTGCATTACACTAAACACACCATGCTCATGCAGTTTTCTGGGCCTGGAAGGCTACAGGCTGCCTGGTGAACTTCTGTTCATCCTGTAAGACCCACTTAGGTATCATTTCCTTGGAGACATCCTCTTGTTTCCCTTATAAGAACTACATGCCTAATGCCATATTTGTATCTAGCATACCACAGACCTACTTGTATTCTTATTTCGGCTGTGTCTGCACCTCAGATTCATCCTAGATCAGTTTAAGCAACCATAGCCTGTGGATTCCTCTAACTTTGTTACCCAGTGTGGAAGTAAAGATTAGATGAGTTGTTTTTCCTCAGACACTTGCAGGTATTAAACTTTTACTGACTGTATGAAATACATTTCACTTACATTTGTATGTTTATTTTCCAAGTGCTATTTTTATAGTCAGAAACAAGTTAATGTCATGATTTTGATGTAATTTCTGTTACAGAGACTTCTGCTCAAAGGTGTCAACATGCTGCTATCTGGCTATGGTGTCATCTATGAAAGAGGGCACTCAAACAGAAATTAAAATACACTAGCACTGCCTTATCACTGACTAGTAGTGATCTGGGACATGTACTCCTGGACAAGTCCAGTTTTCTCATGAGATCCTGGAGTTCATACACAACCTATACAATGTATCAAACCACCAAAATTTACAAAAAAGGACATTCATCACACTAATGATATCCATAGTCACAAAAAAGATACAATTAGTTATAAATGTTAATTATTCATGTTTCTATGTAATTACAAATATTTGCATGGCATATGACTCCAACATTGGCATTTTTAATATAATCCTTCAAGTATTCTGTGATTTAATAGTTTTTATCCGTATTAAAGCTCATGAAGGTACAAAGTATTGTCTGGATCACATGATAAGTGATGGAAAAGAAACCTAAGCATCATCCTCTCCATCTAAATTTCATTGTCTTTTATATTTAGAAATATTAGGTATTTCTGAACAAATTCTATCAAAAAAAAAATTGAAAAGCCCGGGGGTAAATAGTGGAGTAAATCTTAGCTTCTTTAGAACATTTCATTTCTTAATAATTAGAACCACCTTAGTTTTGAAAATTAGATAACACAGCTGGACCTAGGATGTCTCAAATTTCTAAAATTTATCCTAAACATTTATCCATTTATGCTTTCTTTTCCTACAGCATATATTCATTAGCCCAAGGATTTACCTTTTTATTGTTAAGATTTTTAAATATTCTTTATAATCTTAACTACATATTAATCACATGAAACAACCATATAGGTGGACAAAGACAGAAAGTAATACATGAGAAATGATAATGGTTGTTTTGGAAAGTTAGAACTACGGGTAACTTTCCCCCAAAACTTCAGTTAATATTTTTACATTGTTTTTTGTTTTGTTTTGTTTTGTTTTGATTTAGGAAGAAAGAAATAAGGGAGCAGGAAGGAAAGATGGAGAAATGGTCTTGGCATACTTAAAATTCAGTTTATCTTAAAACAATCACTAAACTCATGAAAATTCAACGCATGTATTAATTAAGCCAAACATGATACTTGATACCATCTACCAATGGCTCAAGTATCAACAGAAATTTCTGTTAATGATATAAACATTTTAAGAAACACAAGATTATAATAATCCAAAATTTAGATTATTTCCTGCAAAAACATCCTGGACTACTAGACCTAAATCAGTAAACTTCCACTATAAAACCAACAAAAAAGATAATTCAAAGAGAACCACAAACTTAACATTAATTGAAACCTATTTTGGTGATTTTTAAAGTGGCGGGAGAGGAGAAGCTTTCCTAAGAGACCAGACCTGTCAGCTAGGTGACCTGAGTCAAAGAGACCAAAATGCAGGCAGGGGACACACCATCCTTATTTCTGAACCTCTGCCTTGACAAAATTCCCTAGAGAAGCAACGACGGCCTATCTATTTTTTTTTTTTAACGTTTTATTTATTTCTAGGAGAGAGAGAGACAGCATGAGCAGGGGAGGGTCAGACAGAGAGGGAGTCACAGACTCTGAAACAGGCTCCAGGCTCCGAGCTGGCAGTCAGCACAGAGCCCGACACGGGGCCCGAACCCACGAACCGCGAGATCATGACCCAAGCGAAAGTCGGACGCTCAACCGACTAAGCCACCCAGGCGCCTCCGGGCCTATCTATTTTTAAAGAGGCAATGAGAAGGGGGAAAAAAGTCACTTTCTAACAAAACAGCACTTCTAACAAAAATAGTGAAATTGAGAATGAATCAAACACCAATCGATACCAAGAAAAGAACTTTGGAGAACAGAAAGGTGATCAAATTTACTAAAAAACAAAGGTTGTTTTAATGTAATACATGAAAACGACAGGATTAAACAACTCTACCAAAAATTAAAGCATTTCAAATGAGTCCAACATACTGTAGAGAGAAAAAAAAAATAAGAGTATAAGAGAGCTCAAGATTAAAATATTTAACTTAAATTTCATGTTTCTCATATTTTAGTAGTGGATTTGGACTCTTCTGTCCTAGAAGGACTTAAGAAAGCAAAGAGCCTATTAATGATGTTAAAATACAACATTGTTTATATCTGCGTATTTTTAAAATTCAATTCCAAAGCTACAATAATGACAAGCTCATCAATTTAAGCTCTTGAAATACCAAAACAAGCAAAGGACCACAACTTAGTGTTAGAATCATTATAAACATACAGCTATTTAATACATGATTTGGACTAGGAATCAAATTTTTGTAAATTCTTATACTGTCAAGAACACAAAATTCAGAAACAACTAAATGTATTGCTTATCTGTTATGAGAAACCATATTAACTACAGTATATTTAAACATTTTAAAAGAATGAATTCATTAAAATAGTACCTGAAAAGTTCTATTACTTATAAATTTTAAAATAAGGTTTAGTAAGTCATAAGCAGCACCTCTTTGAAATTATAATTATCTTCTTTGAAAATTACAGGAAAAAAATACAGTTTTTAAAGTCATAAATGTTAAAACTGTTTTTCAATTCTCTTTAAACTAAAGGGCTCCTGGAGCACCTGAGTGGCTTAATCAGTTAAGTGTGCAATTCTTGGTTTCCA